TTGACTCAGCCTTCCATCCTTCCGAGGTGGGTGAAATGAGGACCCAGGATTGTTGTTGGGGGCAATATGCTGACTCTCTGTAAACCGCTTAGAGAGGCCTGAAAGGCCTATGAAGCGGTATATAAGTCTACTGCTATTGCTATTGCTCCCAGAGTTCCTGAGCCAATTCCTGCTGGGGAATTCTGGGAGTTGAAGTCCACAGGTCTTCCCTAGATCAGGGATGGGCAACCTTGAAACGCTTAAAAGAGCCATTTGGGCCGGTTTCCCGCAGAAAATAAAACTCCCCCGGAGCCACAAAACCCTCTTCCCGTGCCTTGACTGTACACATAGTTGAATTAAACATTATTGTGAAACTTTGCTTTTCTTGGATTTAACCATGGTTGACCTACGGGGGGGTTGAAAAGCTGCATCATGTGCTGGGGGGGTGTTGCACATCGGCGGTTGTGACACATATTTTGACCACCGGGGAGCTGCAGCGGAGGGATGAAAGAGCCACATGCGGCTCCAGAGCTGACCCTTATTCTAGAATTCAATATTTCTCAACCTTGGCCACTTGAAGATGTCCGGCTGGGGGATTCTGGGAGTTGAAGTCCGGACATCTTCAAGTGGCCAAGGTTGAGAAACACTGGTCTAGATCTTTCTTGGTGGGGAATTCTGGGAGTTGAAGTCCTGACATCTTCAAGTCGCCAAGGTTGAGAAACACAGTTCTAGATCCTCCTTTGCTCCAGCTGCCGTCTGTCACCCCCCACCCCCTTCAGCCCAGAGACTTGACAGGGTGCGGGAGGCTCCCCATCCTGTCTATGAAACTGGGTGCCCTGGCAGGACCCGGGGAAGATAACTCGGGTGCAGGACCTGCCTTCTGGGACGCATTTCCCGCAAGGCTTTGACACACGCGCCCTCCTTGGCCCATCCCGAAGGAAATCTGTATTCCAGAAGGGGTTTTTTATTTTAATCAATTTCCCCCCCCCTTTTTTTTGTTTTCTGCACCCCTGGAGGCCTCTGTGTGCAGCGGGGAGAGTTGCGTGGGTTGAGAAGGGGGTCTGTTTGCCAACCGGTCCGAGGCCAGTCCGGCCTGGGGAACGGTGGGGAGGGGGAGGCAGTGTGAGAGGCGGCTGGACCCCCGCGCACCACCAGCGGGCTCGCCTCCTCCCGGCGCCTTTCTATTGCCCCCCCCCGCGCCTCCCGGTGGGCAGGAGCTGCCCGCCACGTCATATTCAGATGGGGGGGGGGCTTCGGCTCAGCGCCAGGCATGGGGGGGGCATGTTTTTCGCAGGACTCCCGTTAACGGGGATAGCCGCGAGAAGTGAGGGCTGCCCCGAATAGAGAGCTGTCCCGGGGCGGCTGAGCAGGCTGCTAGACGGCTTTCGGGACGCCCAGGGCACTCTGCACATGCTCGCCAGGGCCGCCATCCCTCTCCTCCGCCGCCTCCGGGGGCCTTTGGGTCGGGGCTGCTGCTCCGCCCCCCCCCACCCCCGCCCGGCCCCCTCGCAGCCACGTCCCGCGGTCCCTCCCCTCGGCCCGCCAGAAGCGCTCCAGCCCCGGCCCCGCAGCTTGCTCCTCCGAGCGCCCCGCTGCCGCCGCCGCGATGCCCCTCGCCCTGTCGGCCCTCCTGCTGCTCTGCCTGCCGCAGCTGAACCGCGCCCAGAGCCCCTCCGACGCCCCCGCCACCAACCAGACCAGGTAGACCCCCGCGCGCTGCGCCCTCCGTCCAGCTCCCCGTCGAAGGGACGGGCGGCCGCTCCGCCAAGCGGAATCCCGGCGCCGCTGAACGGGGCGTGTGGGAAGGGGATCCGCTCCAGGCCCGGGAGAGGTCGGGGAGGGAAGCCGTCGGGGTTCCCTCAACCTCTCCCCTCTCCCCGGCAGGCCCGTCTTCCTGTGCGGCGGCGACTACAACGCCAACAACGGCTACCTGGCCAGCGAGGGCTTCCCCGAGCCCTACCCGCCGGGCAAGAGCTGCACCTGGACCATCACGGTGAGCCCCCCCTTCCAGCCCCCCCCCGTGCTCCCTCCATGTCCTCCCAGCGCCCGCGGAGGGATCCAGGCTGACGCCCTCTGCCCTGCAGGTGCCCGAGGGCCAGGTGGTGATGCTCTCCTTCCGCGTCTTCGACCTGGAGCCCGAGCCGACCTGCCGCTACGACTACCTGGAGGTCTTCAACGGGCACGCGGCCCTGGAGTCGCAGCGCCTGGGCCGCTACTGCGGGACCTTCCGCCCCGGGGCCATCCTGGCCACCAGCCACCAGATGCTGCTGCGGATGGTCTCCGACGAAGGGACCGGCGGCAGGGGCTTCCTCGTCTGGTTCAGCGGCGGCCTCCCCCACGTGGACGGTAAGGGCCGCTCTCCCTGCTGGGGGGGGGGCTCCCCGACAGCCAGGAGCCCCAAGCTGTGCCGGGGTGACCCTCCGTGCCCTGGACGAGCGCCCCGAAGGGAGGCGGAGGGAGGGGGAGCAACTGGCTGCCTCCTGCGAGGGCCCAGGGGGGCAGCCGGCCACAGGAATGCCTGCGGCTGAGTCGGAAGGGGCCAGCTGGCTTCCCAGATGTTTCCCGGACAGGCTGGGAAGGAGGGGAAGATCCTGAGCCAGAGGTGGGTGGAGCAAAAGAGGAGCTGGGGCATCTCTCTGGGCACCTCCCCACCCCATACCAAGGGAGGGCTGTCCCTCAGCAAGGAGGCTCCTGCCTTCTTCACCCCCTCACCCCCCCCCTTGCTGCCCCCTGCCAGTCCCTTTTCCTGGGCCACCCAAAGGGAGGGTGGAAATGGGCTGCCGGCCACAGGGGCTCCTGGGCTTCCTAAGAGCCCTGTCCCCCCCCCCCTCAGCTGCAGCCTGGCAGTTTCCAAAGCCTCTGAAGAGAGACGGGCACTTGGCTGGGCTCTGGGGGAGGGCATTGGGGGGGGGGCAGAGAACGCTGCTGCTCAGCTGCTGCCAGAGTGGTTGAGGAATGGGAGGTCCGGCTGGGCTTGCAAGGGAAAAGGCAGCAGCTAAGCCCCTCCCGCCCCCCTCCTCCTCCCCCTCCCAAGCATTCCTTGCCTCCCACGTCCAGCTGGACCAGGCTCAACAGTTTCCCCACTTCCACTTCCGTCCCAACCGGTCATTAGGGAGAATTCTGCGGTCTCCAAAATGAATGTTTTGCTCTTCTGCTCCCCTCCCGGCCTCTCTCTGTGCAGCACCAGCTCTCCCCTCCCCTCCCCTCCCTCCCCCCTCCCAGTTGGCAGCCCAGCCGCCCCAGAGGCCCTCCTGAGGCTTCAGCCAGCATTCTTGCCGGCTCTTCCCCTCCGGCTTCCTGGGCTCTCGGCCTAGGCCCCTCCTCCCCCCCACACCCGCCCCCAGAAGTAGCCTGTCCCAGAGGGTTGAGTGCCCAGATCTCTCCTTCTGGCGTGGATTGGCACCACTCCGTGCAGGGATGCCTGCAGGATCCATCTGGTCTCCCTGGCTGTAGAAGAAGAGGGTCTGTTCTGGGCTCTTCTACACCCTGGCAACTGTAAGAGCCGTGGAGGACTTCCATTCGCAGGATCTGGGGAGTAGAAGCCCACCGCTCTGCCTAATTGCCAAGGCTGGACAGACCTGTTCTAAGCGGGCAGAGATGGCAAGTGGACACGTGTCTGCTGGAACCCCTGAGCCTCTGTGGCCGTGTGAGCCCTGGATACGTGTGTATTTATGCTGAGCCCTTGCCCATGGTCACACACGTGCCTGGCACAGGTTTATAGAATGTGGGAATGCCTGTCCCGAGTTGGGTCAGGCACTTGAACAGATTTACAGAGTTGGGAGGGACCCTGGAGGTCATCTAGTCCAACCCCCTGCCCAAGCAGGAGACCCTACCTACGCCATTTCTGACCAATGGCAGTCCAGTCTCTTCTTTTTTTTTATTTAAAATTTTTGGGGAAAAAAAACTTTTACAAATATTTACCTCCCCTCCCCTCCCCACCCC